GTTTTTTTTTTTTTTTTTTTTTTTGTTATCGTTTCTTTTTTTAAGGAGGAACGAGAGATTCAAAAGTTAATCGCCGAGATGGACGAAGCTAAATTGGAAAATCTAAGGAAGGTAAAGACCGAATTGGAAATATGTTACGAAAAGGAGAGACAAGAGATTCTTGCTAATCTAAAGACGGAACTCGATGAAAGAAAGGGCGAGCTGTTGGAACTGCGGAACCAGGAGATAGGGAAATTGGAGAACGAACACGAACGTGACCTAGATGAGGAGAAACTTGCGAAACTCAGCGAGATCAAACTGACCAAACAACATTCCGCGAGAATTAAAGCCATGAAGATGGAACTGGACAAGGAGTTCGACGAAGTACGCTCTCAGTTGCGGGTGCAGCAGAGGGAGAGCATTTCGAAAATCACGGAGAAGCACGAGAAACGCCTGGTTGAAATTCTACGCGATTTTAGAATCAACGTGAGTACTTGACGATGCCTCTTGTTTCGATAGCAAATACATAATTTTGCACTCTTGGTTGTTGCAATACATGATAGACAACTTTTATCGCTCTTTCTTGTTATTATTACCAGTTTAACATCCATTGTTTCTTAAGGATATCAGGTTATGTATATAATGCGAACGATGAGTGTTATGCAATATGGTTAGTTAACTCGTTAGATGCAATTCTTTCCGCGAACGCAATTACCAGCTACTTTGACGTAAATAAATACGACATTCAATTCCCTAATTTTATCCATAATTGTTCGAGCTATTCTCGTAGAGTAACTTTAAGACTGATGTTTCTAAATTCTTGTCGTATCCGGAAAAATTACAAGTGTGCACTATCTCAAAACAACATTACATTAATGCTTCAATCTAAACACGCACGACATACTGATCATCTATATACATGCATTTGAAAAAATTTATTCTCGAATTTATTCTCGACGCAATAAGAGACGAGGAGCTCGAAGAGAAGATTACGTTCTCTATTCGTAAATTACACGCAACTTAAAAAAAAAAAAAAAAAATCGTTGTTACGATTTCAGGAGGATCGCACTCGCAAGATGTACAAACAGCGTTTGGAGGAGATCCGTGCCGATTTCTCGCGCGAGGCTGAGAAAGAAGCGAAGAAGCAGACGGGAAGAGCGATTCATCAAGAGAGCATCGAATTCGAAAAGATGCGCTGCGAAAAGCGACTGCTGCAAGACAAATACATAGCGTTGAAGGAGAAGTATATGAAGTTGAAGAAGGAGGTTCGTTCGGCTATCGAGAGGAGGAGCAAAAGGAAGGAAGGATACACCACGGCCTCGGAGACCGAGAGGTCAACGTCCACGAGAACGAGAACCGACAGAACCGAATCGTCCGAACAAAAGTGAGTCGAGCTCAGATCTGTTAGTTTTCGCTAATTTTCGTTCCCGTCAGCCCGTTTGCTTTTCCAGTAATACTTGCTGCAACATTCGGCAATTTCATTGCAATATTTTAGGATGTCGCGCCATTGTAGCGACGTTATACAAGAGGAGGGCGCGTGAAATCAGAGAAACGAATTGTATCGCGAAAGGGTTGGCGTGTTGGATCGCGCTCTGAACTACTTGTACGTGCCATGACTTTAACAAAATCGGTCGGAAGCACAGCTTTTTTTTTTACCTTTTTACGTGTTACGATATTTACATATTTGGGTCAAGTGTTCACTGTTACTAGTGTTAAGTTCTTGCACATCCATTCTCCTCGTCACCGATTCACCAGTACCTTCATAGTTGATGTCACTTGCTATATCTCTTGACGGAGCACATTTGTTACCCTTGTA